GACTCACTTCAGACAATCTTGCAGCTTCACTTTTCCAATTTCCTTTTTTTTCCCCTTGGGATACCTTCAAATGATTATTATTTTAAATTTCTCTTTAATAATTAACTTCATTTGATCCAGGCAGGGTCACTGAATGATTCCCCATTTACCAACAGTGAAATAGGTAATTGGAAGAACTAAGATTTTAAGAACTATGTTTTAAGAACTAATTGAGAGTTTTTGTCCTTAATGATGATCATCTTTTCATAGAGTTTAGCTATATTATTTGGAAGAAAATATGTGTGCTAACTCTTTCTTGTAAATATGTTTTTTAGAGTTTCCCTAAAATGTATCATAAGCGTGATTTCTTTTAAGTAGTAGAATCTGGATACTGAGGTAATTAATGTAGTATTTTGGGCTAATTTTAGGGCCATTGAGCTCATTTTGATTGGTTTTCTTTTCTTATCTAACTCAAATGCTTTATTTTAGCATTTATTATCTCAACTAAAAATATGCATATTATTATATTCCCTTGCCACATTTTAGTTTGCAATGTTAAAGCCTCCTTTCTGTAAGAGCAAAGTACTTCAGTGATTCTTAGGCCATAAACTGCCCAGTAAATCTGCATGTCCCTCCTTCATTATCCTCTTATCTGGTTGTAAATGATGTAAGGCTTAAATAAGATTGCAGAAGGTCACTGCTTTTGAGAACTGGTTGCTTCCTCAGAAATGTTAAAGAACTGTGTTACTGTTTGAAAATACTTGGATATTTTGCTTGGCTTTGTTTTTGTTTTTGTTTTTAAATAAGAATCCAATTCTGGCATTAAAGAGCAATTTCTGTAGCTGGAGCCTCCGGTAAGGTGGGACTTGATTAGGATGGCCCAAAGGGCAGGCCAGGAACTATTTAGAATGTTGTAGTATGCTGCTGTTGTGAGCCAGAAAAAATTATATCAATAGGTGGGTGATAAATTCATTCCCATTTAGCTAGTAAAATATAAGTTTTGATATTTATTTATGAATTGCAAATAGAGTAACTACTGCAGTTGTTAACCTCTAACTTCTTTAAGTGAAAATAAGGTTAGTTATCTTTCCTCTTCTCAGCAATTCAGCTGCCAACTCATGTAAAATATTTGGGTAATGATAATATATATAATTTACTTTTGCAAATATTTGATTAACAAATTACAGTCTGTAACTATAAATGAACAGATCGCATAAACTTAAAAGGGAGCTGTAGCCATAACCAATCTGATCATTTTTGTCTTCTAAATATGTTCTACTTACTTGTCTTTCCACATTTCTACTTCAACAAAAAAAATTGTGTTTTTTAAGGAGATTAATGAACTTAGTTTTCAAAGGTAAAAACATTTGGGAGGAAGTTGATGTGAATTTTCTGTGTTCTAATTTAGTGTATAAACTAAACACCAACTGATCAGAAGTACTCATTGAATACCCATTATATGCTCAATACCTAGATGTATAAAAATGAGAACATAGTTTCTGTCTTCCACCTTTGGTTTCAGTGTCAGATTTTTTTAATCTGAAGATCTACTACTTGGAAGAAAATTTAGAATTTGAGAAAACTGTTTCTCTGGAGGAACAGATTTCTCTTTCTTTCTTCCTTTCACATCATAAATGGAGTAAACAGACATCTTATTTAGGAAAATGAGGCAGTAATGCTCAATTTATATATCAAACTCCTGTGATTACTCTCCCTATTGTTAAAATTTTAAATTATTCCTCTTAAATAAATTCAGTCATCTGGGTATTTGAAGTAGATACTTCTGTTAAAAAAAAAAAAAAAGAAAACTATGGAAATTCCCTGGTGGTCCAGTGGTTAAGACTCGGCACTTTCACTACAGTGGCCCGGGTTCAAACCCTGGTCGGGTAACTAAAATCCCTCAAGCTGCGCAGCACAGCCAAAAAAACTTTAAGAAAAAAAAAAAAAAGAAAGACAGAAAAACCAAAACTGCTAAGGAATAGAGTAAGAATGAATACTTTGAAATCACTAGAAATTTAAAATACATTGTTCTTGTCTTGCCAGGTAACTTGTAAGCTACTTGTCCATTAAAAAAATATTTCTGGAGTGCTCAAAATGTACCGATATTATTCTAAGTTTTAGAATATAGCAATGAATAAAATAGACCAAAAAGCCTGCCTACAAGGAGCATATGTTCTAGTTGGTGGAAACAACAAAGAAAACAAATAAGTCTTAGAGAACAGAGTAAAGCAGGGAAGAGGGATGAAGGAGCATCATTGGATGGGGTGCAGTTTAGAAGATCCGAGAATATGACATCGAGTAAAGATCTGAAAGAGTTGTAATAGCCATGCAGGTATCTTGCGAAAAGAGTGTTAAAAAAGTTTTGATGCAGCATGATTCTGCTTAAATTTTTCTTCTGAAATGATGTTTTTATTCTTAATGAAATTAACTCCCCCCCTTTTTATGAATTGTCTGTCTTGTACTTGTTAATTTATTGTAGTCTTAATGCTTTTTAATTCTGTATATTGATGATTTAAACTCACTTCTGTTCTTAGCTGCCCACTAGGCTATTCTTAACTCAGCAGTCAAGAGTGATCCTGTAGGTTGGATCATGTCACTCCTCTGCTTTAGATCCTCCAGTGGTTCACAATTTCACTTAAAATCAAAGTCCTTACAGTGGCCTATATAATCTGACCCCCATTTTCTTACTGACTTTTATTTTTGGATATTTGTTTCTTGTGGGGAAATTGCTATTATTGTTATGCTTTTTCTCTTTTATATTTTCTTACATGTTATTAATGAGATATAGGAAAAGCATTGATTTTTATATATTTATTTTATATCCCTACAGGTTTTTAAACTCAATTATAATTTTTAAATGTTTTCTCTTAGAGTTTTTTTGGAATGCCTTCTACTTATATGCAAATAATAACCTTGCTTATTTTCTAACATTATACTTCATATTCGTATCTTATTGCATTGGTGAGAATTTTCAGAATCATGTTAAATAACAGGGGAAGGGTTCTACTTTAGGTTGGGAAGTAGAAAGACATGAAGGATCTTCATTCCCATTTTAATAACATGAAATCACAACATAAACCAAACAGTCATAATCTTTAAAGCCACTGAAGACATATCAATACAAAGAAATCTTAAAAAACAAAACAAAACTGAATTCCAGAGGGACAAGTGCTTCCTAGATAATCAAAGGATATAGAGGTGCTTTCACTTCTGAGGCCAGAGGCTGAGACTGGGGCTAAGGCTGCCAGAAGAGTGAGCCTGCCTGAGGACAGTCTTTGCTGGGATTAAGGAGAAGCCAGCCAAACTTTGAAAAACCCGTTTCAGATTTAAATCTGAAGGAACCGCAAGTGCAAAGATAATCATCTGTAATCTAGAGATGATTTAAAGTATATAGGAGGATGTGCATTGGTTATATGCAAATACTATACCATTTTATATAAGGGCCTTGAGCATCCTTGGATTTTGGTGTCCACGGGGGTGGACCAATCTCCTATGGATACCAAGGGATGATTATATTGTACTCTTCATCTCTAGTAGTTTCATTTGGTACTTTTTTAAAAAAATAGTTTCCGTTTCTCTTTTCAATATAGTCATGGTTTTCCTTAAATTCTGGAGATATTTATAATGGATGTTTTAAAGCCTTGTCTGCTAATTCCATCATCTCTGTTATTTCTATGGCTTTTTCTATTGACTGGTTTTTATCCTGGTTTTGGATCGCTTTTTCCTGCTGTTTTATGTACATATATATATTTGGATGCTAGACATTATGAATGTTATATGGCTAATGGATTCTGTTGTCATCCTTTAAAATAGGAAGTTTGTTTTGTTTTGATAGGCAGTTATTTGTGGATCGGGTTGATATTTTCTAGAATTTTTTTTAAAGTTTTTTGGGGGCAAGTCTGAAGTAGCCTTTACTCTAAGAGTTAGTTTTTCCCATACTGATTAAGTGACCCTCTGAGTCTGTGAATGCTCCCAGTGTTCAACAAGGTATCTCCGCTCTGGCTGGTCAGAACTTAGGCATTTCCTAGCCCAGCCTCAATGAATTTCACTCTATGCATACATAGCTTAGTACTCTGCTAAAACTCAGTAAGACTCCTGTTCATATTTCTGGAGCTCGTTCTCTACATAACTCTTTCCTCTCCAGTATTCTTCCCTGTAAACTTGAGCTACCTCAACCTCCCTGAACTACAAGTTCTATTCTTAACTCAGTGAAATTTCACTACTTAGGTTCCTCATACCTTGCCAAGGTCTGGGAAGAGGCTGCAGGCAGAAAGCCAGGGTAATGGAAAGACTCACCTTGTTTGTTTTCCAAATCTTACTTTAGTTCCTTGGAGGGAAAAACAACAACAGCGACAACAGTGCACATATAGAATGTAACCATAGTTGGAGTTTACCTGTGATTTTTTTTTTTTTTAAGTACATCTTCTGATGAATGAGAAAAAGATGTTCATGTTTTCATGATGCCCCTATTACCTATCACATTATAAATCCTGTTCTACCCTCTGTCTTATTTATTCACTTTATTACTTATAACATCTTTTGTCATGTTCATTTTCATTTATTTAATAAGTATTGAATGTGTGTAGTTACCATATCGACAGGATGGATCAGACATGGGATCCTGCTATTAGGATGTTTATAGTGTAGCCAGGAGAGAATATGTATATAGAATCACTAAATCCAAGATACAGATTGAAAATTACCAAAAATGAGTACAGATAAAAAATGGTGTGGGAAGCCATAAAGGTCTCAGTTGTTTCCTGTTTTACATATTGGATTTAAATGGGGAATTGAAAAAAAAAATTTTTTTCCATTTTAAAGCTTCTTATATGTTAATTTGAATTTAATTTTCATTCCATTTTAAATATAATGTATTTGTCTTTCAGAGTTTTGTTTTAGGTAATTTTTAGCAATTTAACTGGGAAATTAAAATATATCCTTAGAAGTTACATTATCAGGGTGAACTAACTGCCCAGAAGAGAAGGCTGAGGTTTTATAATCTTGTTTGATTTGACTCTCAGTGGAGGAATCAGACATCATTGATCTGGAGAAACGCTATTGGTTGCTGAAGGCTCAATCCCGAACTGGACGATTTGATTTAGAGACATTTGGCCCATTGGTTTCACCACCAATTCGTCCATCTCTAAGTGAAGGTAGGAATCATTCTATTTCTACAGTGTTCCTTGCTAAACACACATAAGACCATCTTTTATTTCTAACCAATACATCTTAACTCTAAAAGGCTATAATGTTACAAGTTTGCAAGTTTCTTGCAAATAGTGTAGTTCAGTGGGAAAAAAAACTAAATTGGGAGTTATAGTCTTGAGCTTCCTATTCTACCTATGTAGCCTTGCATAAGTCAGTTTTGCTCTCTCACCTGTACATTCTCATATATGTAAAACGTTTTGACCAAGACAGTGGTTACAAAAGTGTACTCCAGTGAGGTGCCTCAGCATCTGGTGCAGGGATTAGGGAGGTGGCCACTGAGCAGGCAAAGCTCTAGGTTTCCACACATAGCCCCACCTCTTCCCTCACCGCAAGAGCCTCCACTGTTTTTCTTTTACATAAGAAGGTTCCACTGGGGGATTACCTGGCGGTCCAGTGGTTAGGACTCTGCACTTTCACTGCTGAGGGCCCGGGTTCAGTCCCTGGTTGGGGAACTAAGATCCTGTAAGCCGCGTGGCGTGGCACCAAAAAAAAAAAAAAAAAAAAAAAAAAAAGGAAGAAGGTTCCACTGTTGTATCTGTCCCTCCCTCCCCTGCCCCCAAAAGATTAAGAAACCACTGGACTGGACCATCTCTATGTTCCCCACTTAGCCCTAAACTTTTCATTGCTATAACTTAAAAAAAAAAAAGTTAGTAATGCAAAGGGTAGTTGTTGGTGGTATCACAAAAACAATATTTGGAATCTGAATACTTGGGTTCTGCTTCTGGTTCAGACCTTTTTAAACTTTTCTAACTTTTGGCAAGTCATGTAACTATTTTTAGCTTTGATTTTCTACTCTTTAAACTGAGGGCACAGAAGTAGAGTCTTACAGACAATCTGTATTCTTCACATTCCCAGTGTATTTCAGAAATACCTGTCAGGGGAGCCAGAACAGATAGGGCTTGTACCTACTTCAAAGGTGCAGTTGTGTTTTTACCCTTCTAGAATTGGATAGTGATAAGTCATTTTATTTGAAAACAAAATTATTCCATTTCTATTTTTTACAAAAAGTTTGAAAACCACAGGATTATATTATAAATTCCCTTTTATTTCTGAATTTTAAAATATTTATAAATATTAAGTAATACAAAGAAGACTGCAGTACAGAATTACTTTCTTTGGTAATATAGTGTGTTATTTTTCTTTGCTTCATGAAAGAGCTTAATGGAGCTTATTAATAACAACACAGTATATCTTTGATATGCAGTTCAACTTTTCTTCTTTTTTCCTTTTTCTTCTTAGTCTTTCCAAATAAGGATAATTGTGGTCTCTGACATTTTTTTTCAGTTCTTGATTTTTTAAACTGATTTTTATTTTTTACATGCTAAAGTCATTTTGAGCTATAGGAATTGATATAAGATAGAGACAGGCAGGCAAACAAAACCAAACACTAAATGATAGTAATGTATTTTCTGCTAGAAAGTTAAGTTTTATAATTATACCAGGAAAAAGAGAAATACTTCCTAGGACAATGGGAGCTACTGATAAACTTTTTTTTTTTTTTTTAACTCAGTCAGTTTATGGGAGTCATGCCTCCTTTCATAAACATGTCATTATTACCATTAGGAAGTTTGTTTGTTGTGATTTACATTGTCTTCCTATTTTACAGGTTTGTTTAATGCTTTTGATGAAAATCGTGACAATCACATAGATTTTAAGGAGATATCCTGTGGGTTATCAGCCTGTTGCAGAGGACCCCTGGCCGAAAGACAAAAATGTAAGTGTGTTAAACATTGTCACAAAATTTGCAAACTATACAGAGAAAAAAATCAGCATTCATTCATATAAAAATCATCTGTGGATTGAGGCTTGAATTTTCATTACTCTGGCAAATAGCAATCTCATGTTGAGGTTTTACTGAGGTCGCTGTAAGGATTCAGTCTCCTATTTTCTGTGGAGTGATTTGGGATTTGTCATTAGTAACGGGGTTGGTTTTTCCAAATGAATATGCAGTTCATGATAAATGAACTACATCAGTCATGATGTATTTGAAAATGTTAAGCATTTAGAAAATATTTTCTGGTAGTCTATAGAGAATTTTGTGTCTTGCATGATTTGAAGTATAACTTATTTTCTGTCACTTGAATACATTAGTATTTTATTAGCAAAGTGAAATATATGATCAAAACACAGTTTTATTAAATACTAAAATGGTCTTTTAAGCCTAACTAAAATGTTATAGTATAATTTATAAGCATATTAAATTAATAAATCTTAACTATATTTGAGAAAATGCAACAGTTTAGGTTCCAACATTTAATTGGAACCAATTCTAATATATTTACAAGTGTCATTATCTCTGTGTCTTTCTAAAATACAGCTTCACAAATGTTGCCTATTTGGGGTATGCTACTTGTTATTTGATATTCTTCAGTAATGTGCTGTGATGCACTCCATTGATTTAATAGCATAATTATCATGGGAGTATATGAAATAGATAAGTATGTAATCTAAAAAATGTATATTTCTTTTTTCTTCCCTGATATGGTATACCATTATTCCAACCTGGCTTTACGATAGATTATTTGTTCCCATTAAAGTTCAAATATTAAATAAAGAGGCTGAAATCTTTGCTTTTCAATTGAGGTTTATTATTACCTTAAATTTTTTTTTTAATTTCTTTTTTGCTACTGGAAGTTAATAAACTAGAGTGATTCATTTGATGTTAATTAGCAAAGTGCTGCTATTTCTAATTCTTAGTCTGTTGTATATAAACAAAGAATTGAAGAGTTGAAATTGTTCTTTGGCCAAAAATGAGTGTGCCTTAATTACATTGGAGAGGCAAAATCTTTATACTGTTATCCCTCAGTATCTGCTGGGGATTGGTTCTGGGACCTCCTCGGATACCAAAATCCATGTATACTCAAGTCCTTGTATAATATGGCATAGTAGTTGCATATAACCTATGCACATCTTGTATACTTTCAATCATCTCTAGGTTACTTATAATACCTAATACAATGTAAATAGTTGTAAATACAATGTAGATGCTATGTAAATAGTTGCCAGTGTGGCAAATTCAAGTTTTGCTCTTGGGGACTTTATGGAAAATTTTTTTCTTAATTTTTATATATTTTCGATCTGTGGTTGATTGAATCTGCAAATGTGGAACCTGTGGATACAGAGGGCCAACTGTACCACCTTGTTATTGCTGATTCTTAATGTAGATGGAATATTTTCAGCATTGTGAGAATCAACTCTGAAGTGATCAGTTTTAAATATTAGAAATTAATTTAAAGGCTTGAATTACCTCCTCAAAATCTGTGAGGTATTGTATAGTAATTTGGCTCTTATTTTTCAGTTTGCAAGGAATTTAACTCTAGATTTCGGGGAAGGATAGGGTTTTCCAACCTGGCTAATGATGTAGATAGAGAGACTTAGCAAGTATGTGTAGGAAGTCCTACAAGTTCAGAGGACTTTAATGACATAGTCTGCTTCAGATGAGCAGACTTAATCCAGAATATACTTGCTTAAGAAACTAAGTAATTTTACTAAGGCAGCTTCCAGTAAAACGTATTGTACTTCAGAATATAAAAGTGATTTCCCTTCATAAGAGTTTCTTTTCTTTAGTTTGCTTCAAGGTGTTTGATGTTGACCGTGATGGAGTTCTCTCCAGGGTTGAACTGAGAGACATGGTGGTTGCACTCTTAGAGGTCTGGAAGGACAACCGCACCGATGACATCCCGGTAAATTCTGGTTGTATGCATCTTGTTGCATGTAAATTTCCAACAGGAAAACGGAGTGAAAAATTTTAAAAAGAGATCAAGAGAAAGGGATTTGTTATTACCTCTAGTTGCTATATTATGCTACTCAAAATATCCATAGCTGAAGGTACAAAATTGGAAAAAGAATTTGCCTTAGAAAATTTCATAAACTGAATGTATTGTGTAAAGTAAAAATGAAACCAGAGGGAAATTGGCTTAATTTTTTAAAGCAAGTGTAACAATCTATTAATGGTAATTTTAAAAAATACTTGACCAAAATATCGTATACCTTCGTCACTGACTAGTAAAGATGATATCTACTCTTTTCTAATTACTTCTTTGGGTTTCTGTTTTTAAAGGAATTACACATGGATCTATCTGACATTGTAGAAGGCATATTGAATGCACATGACACCACAAAGGTGAGTCTCGCTGGGACTAATCCTTTTCTAAAAATATCTTGTACTCTGAATTGGTTTATATAGTTTATATATATATTTAAATCTCTTCTACCTCATCCCCACCAAGTGCTTATTTGGATCTGTTGTTACAACACCTCCAAGTTGTCTCTAAAGATAGCCCATTCCATCTTTAAACAACTCCATTAAGTGTTATATACATAAAAACATTTATTATATTTTATAAGCTAGGCATTTTATAAAAATTAAGTAGACACAGCCCTTGCCATCATTTATAATCTTTATTTCTCCCATTTTAATAAGTTATGGTAGGGCTAACCTTATACTGAGCGAAAGAATGCACAGAAAAAAGAACACATATTGTATGATTCCATTTATGTGAAGTTCAAGAACAGAGGCAAAACGGTGTTACAACAGTGATTTCGGGGATGAGTGATTTAACTGGGGAGGACCATAAGGATATTTGGGATGATGGAAATGACCTTTTATCTCAATCTGGGTGGTACATATATTCTTATAAAAAATTTAAAAAGTAATATTGGTAAAGATCTCTTCTGAGTTCTTTAATGGCAGCCAGAATAAGCGTGTAATTAATAGCTTATATATATTTTGCCTTCTGTATGAAAATGTAATTTTTGGTACACTTTGACACCAAGAAAATATTGCTTTACTCAACTTACAAGAGTAATGTTAAATTGCATTTTGGGGAAATGTAATGTAGATACTCATTTTTTATATTTATTAAATTCTTTTAAATCTCTAAGAACTCTGATAAAATTGCCAGATATTTCTAAGAAGGTCTTAGAAAATTGTTAGGATCAAAGGTCATAATCCAAAGAGTCTGCAAAAATGCTTTCAAAATTAGTAAATGCTTCATTTTCCCTACTCAGGGCCTTTTGTGGGTTCCGTAAGTAACCTTTGAACCAGAAGATACTGTGAGTTATTTTCCAGGTCTTATTGGCGGAAGAAGATTGTTGGTGATAAATTGTCCTCATTGCCATTGACTATTTCAACAAAATTTGGTTACTTTTAAACTTATCCTAGCTGGCCTACTTCTCAGATGAACACATAGCGTCTACCTTAAATTACTGGTTTTCTTTCAGACATATGACAATTAGAAGTTTAATAAACCAGATTTTATTCAAATACTATAAAAAATGAGATATTTTAAAATACTGTTTCTCTTTCAGATGGGCCATCTTACTCTAGAAGACTATCAAATCTGGAGCGTGAAAAATGTTCTGGCCAATGAATTTTTGAATCTACTTTTCCAGGTATGTTTAAGGTAAATGACAGGTACAGAGGACAGTGGTACCAGTAGTTCTGCATCTTTTCCATATGTAATAGTTATTACAACTAGGCTACAAAACCATATATTATAAAAAGAACTACATTATCCCGTACACGACCTGAAGGATGGTGAGAGAGCATGAGTGCCTACTGAAGTTTCTCAAAGTCATGAGACGATAGGAGGGTAGAATAGAGCTGATTATGTTTATCTTACAAGCAATGACAGAGGAGAATGTAGACACATAGAGAATAATTTGCTATTTTTCTTCATTGTTGTCTTGTTTAAAGGCCCCCTCCTAACAAGTAAGGCTGTATGAACAGAGAGATGGATCATAAGTAGGCAGCTGTAAATTTTTCACAAAATATACAATCTTCCCAGTTAGGAGATTATCTTAGATGCAAGACTGTTTCTCAGTTTTGTTTTTTTTTCTAATTCTTTAGAAGGTCCAAAAAAGATTGAAGAAGGAGGAGGAAAGAATAGCTGCTAGGAGTGAGCAGCCATATTTTAACTGTTTTCCCAGTTAAAATACTTCTCTTGCTCCAATTTAAAAAAATAACTTATGGTTTCCCATTTTTCATAGTTCTTTATAAATATTTGTTGATTTAGGAGTGGTATTTTAGATTCTCCTTATTATATTTTCCTTTCCTTGTAAAAGCATCCCTGTGAAAGTCAGAAAGGTTTAGTATCTTTGTATGTATCATGATCTTCCATTGCAAATAAAGAGTAACTTGTCTGTGACACAACGATAATACATGGAAATTGAACTCTTCCTTATAGCTAATGACTAATCAATGTATATTTAAAGCATATGCAATCTGATAAGCCTATAACAGCCATATAAATCACTCAGCTGCTCCACTATCAGTTTTCAGCAGGGATTTAAGTTGATGGCTTTGTAAAACAAAAAATGTACAGAAATAATATAAATCACTACTATAAACAGAAGTGACTTGCTTGGTAATACGAAAATTGATCAGCTATTTTTTTATCTCGTTTAAAATAATATTCTCAACTACTTTAAGTCATAATTAGTTATATAAACATTTTGACCCCTTAAGTAAACTTTATGTTCACTTAATATATGAGTAAGCAGACTGTTATGCTAATTAGTTTTATTTTCTATCTGTGTCTTAAAATAGGTAGAGTTAGCTGGTAAGATCAGTGATAAAAGCTTGAATTATGCTCTTATTTTATTTGCCAAGATCCCACTCTTGCCTGAGTATTTAAGTGTAACATAAGTATCAGTAGAATTAGTAAACCATTCTTGTGGTAATACTTTATTTTCAATCCTTTTTAATAAACTCAGTGCCCAATATTTTGCAGAGGAAGCATGCTAAACATGAGCAGGATCTTCTATCTTATACATTTGTCAGAAAGTATCAAATGTTAAATAATGTGGTAAGCAGAATAACTCAGCCTACCCCCACCCCCACCAATATCCATGCCCTAATCCTTGGAACCTGTGAATATGTTATTTTACATGGCAAAGGGGATTTTGCAGATGTATCAGTTTAAGGACTCTGAGATGGGGAGATTGGCCTGTATTATCCAGATGGGTCCAGTCTAATCACATGAGTCCTTAAAAGTGGAAAATCTTTCTCAGCTGTGGTCAGAGAGAAAGAAATGACGTTGGAAGAAGAGTGAGAGAGGTGCAAGTGGCTAGCTTTGAAGAAAGAGGAAGGGGCCACGAGCAAAGGAATGTGGGTGAACTCTAGAAGCTGGAAAAGGCAAGGAAGCATATTCTTCCTTTGACCTCCAGAAAGGAATACAGACAGCCCTGTTGCCGTCTTAATTTTTAGCCTAGTGAGATCCATGCCTTACTTTTGACCTACATAATGTAAGATAATGAATTTGTGCTGTTTTAGGCTGCAAATTTTGTGATAATTTGTTACAGCAGTAATAAAAAAAAACGATACAGAGGGAGATAATCCATATTTATGGATTGGAAGGCTCAATACTTTAAAGATGTCAGTTCCCCTTCAGTTGATTTAAAGATTTGTGCACTCACAATCAGAATCCCAAAAAGTTCATTGTTGTCATTGTGTTTTTGCAGAACTTGACAAGCTGATTCTAAATACACAGAGAAGTATGAAGGGCCAAAAATAAAAATAGCAAAGGTGATATTAAAGAACAGTGGACTTGTATTACCAGATATTAGAACTTGTTATAAAATAACAGTATTAAGACAATGTGATATCTGCATAAAGTTAGACAAACCAGTGGAACAGTATTGAGAGTTCTTAAACAGACCTACATAGGTATGATCACTTGATTTATAACAAAGAAGACATTGCATTGCAGATGCAAAGGGGTGGTCTTTTCAGTAAGTGGTACTGAATTAATTAGTATTCATATGGTGAAAACATGCATCATTATTCCCACCCCATTATAATACATGAAAAGTAATTTAGGTAGATTATAAATCTAATAAATTTGAACGGTAAACAATAAAATGTCTAGAAAATAATATAGGAGATATTTTCATGACTTTGAGGTGGCAAAGAGTTCTTAAACAGGACGCGCGCAGCAATGAAGACCCAATGCAGCCAAGATACTTCCAGAGAGCACTAAGCATAAAGAAAAGTTTTAAGTTGGACTTCAGTAAAATTAAGAATTCTTTTTATCAAGAGATACCATTAAGAAAATGAAAAGAGGGACTTCCCTGACGGTCCAGTGGTTACGATGCCACGCTTCCAATGCAGGGGACACGGGTTCGATCTCTGGTTGGGGAACTAGGATTCCCCATGCCACGCGGTGTGGCCAAAAAAAAAAGAAAAGAAAAGAAAAGATAAGAATATATTTGCTATACCTGTATCCAACAAAAGACTTGTATATAGGGCATACAAAGAGCAAAAATCAATGGAAAAAAGGCAGAAGCTCAATAGCAAAGTGTACAAAAAACTTGAACAGGTGCTTCACAAACGAGAATATCCAAATAGCTAATAATTATGAAAGGGGGCTAACTTCTTTAGTCATAATGGAAATACATTTTAAAATCACACTTGGAGTACCATTAGACATCCATTAGAATGGTTAGCTTTGAGGTGATATGAAGCATTGTTGAGGATAACAAGAAACTGGAACTCTTACACATTGCCAGTAGGAATATAAATTCTTACAAGTATTTTGGAAATTGTTTGGCTGTTTTTATGTATACTCTATGACTCAGCAAATCTACCCCATGTATGTACCCTACAGAAACGTGTATATCTGAGCACCAAGAAACATAGAATAGGTTTTTATAATCACTTTTTATTACAGCCCCAAACAGAAAATGACCCGAGTACCTATCAACAATAAATCCATAAACAGAAATGGTAGCACATGCATACATATGGTTTACTTTAAAACAATAAATATAAATATACTGGTGCTATACACAACCACATGGATGAATCTTACATAATTTTGAGTGGAAAATACTGGGCCAGAAAATTCAAAAGCAGACAAAACCAATCCATGGTGGTAGAATTTAGTATAGTGAACACATTAAAGGGGTACACATCTGCAAATGTGTCTGGGAAAGAACTCAAAGTGGAGCTTCGGGAGAGGTAGCAATGTTCTGTTTCTTGACTGGATGAAGGTTACATAGGTGTGTTTACTTTGTGAAAAGTCACTAAACTGTACACTTAAGATTTGTTCACTTTTATCACTTTGCTGTACATGTGAAACTAACACAATATTGTAAATCAACTATACTTCAATTAAAAAATCTTTTAAAAATATTGTTCACTTTTAAGCATGTATATTATATTTCCTTTTCATTAAGTTTGCTTACAAAAACCCAGCTACCTGTGCTTCCCTCGTGGCGCAGTGGTTAAGAATCCACCTGCCAATGCAGGAGACACGGGTTTGAGCCCTGGTCCAGGAAGATCCCACATGCCGCGGAGCCACTAAGCCCGTGCACCACAACTACTGAGCCTGCGCTCTAGAGCCCGTGAGCGACAACTACTGAGCCCATGTGCCACAACTACTGAAAGCTGCATGCCCTAGAGCCCGTGCTCTGCAACAAGAGAAGCCACCGCAATGAGAAGCCTGCGCACCGCAACCAAGAGTAGCCCCCGCTCACCACAACTAGAGAAAGCCCGCACGCAGCAACGAAGACCCAACGCAGCCAAAAATAAATTAAAAAAAAAAACAAAACCCAAAGCCCAAGTATGCATCAGTAGGAGAATGGATAAAATGGTATTTTCAAACAGTGGACTGTTATTCAGCAATAAAAATGAATGAACTACTGATACGTGCATGAATCTTATAAACCTAATTTGTGTACTGTTAAGTAAATTGTGCCTCAAAATGTAAACAAAACTATAAACAGGCATGCTGATGTATTTACAGGGAGTTGTACTAATAGCTATAATTTACTTTGAAATGCATGTAAAAATTAAGATGATGAATTGAGGGATGAATAGATTAAGTATAATAAAAATGTTAATGTTAGACTTAGGTAATGGGTATGAGGTGTTCAGTGTAAAATTCTTTCAACTTTTCTGTATTTTTGAAAATTGTCATGTTAAATGTTGGGGGAAAAATCGTATCTTTTGTGATGATATTTAGAGAAGGCAAATAAATTGAGGAGAAAATGAGCCTTAAAAAAGCATATTTAGGGCTTCCCTGGTGGCGCAGTGGTTGAGAGTCCGCCTGCCGATGCAGGGGACACGGGTTCGTGCCCAGGTCTGGGAAGATCCCACATTCGCAGAGTGGCTGGGCCCGTGAGCCATGGCCACTGAGCCTGCGCGTCCGGAGCCTGTGCTCCGCAACGGGAGAGGCCACAACAGTGAGAGGCCCGCGTACCACAAAAAAAAAAAAAAGCATATTTAGCACTAGTGGCAATAATGTTTTTCTTAGAGTTGTTCAAATTGAAATGCCACCATTATCCTTCATTTTCTGTGTCCTTTTCATCTCCCCTTCACCTCTCTGCCCAGGTGCCATGGTATGCTCTTCAGATTTCAGGAAAGGAAGTAATATTCTCTCTGTGAGACAATTAAGATATATAGTGTTAATGAAATATTCTGAAAAGTAGTTTCTTCCTTCCTTTCTCCTTTTCTTCCTTTCTTCCTTTCTCTGTCTCTCTCTCTCTCTCTCTGTGTCTCTTTATCACGCAGAGATTTGGAAATTGCCTTCCATTGCAATGGTTTGTTTAAAAAGAAACAACAAAACAGAAAACTTAAGTTTAAAGTTCAGATTTGCTTAAGTGGATCATTGATAATTCATCAATTGAAAGCTATTGCTGATTTAGATTCCCATCTAGAATATGGATCTCATACAGAGAATGTGAAATAGTCTATAGTCCCGTCATTGGCACCAAAGAAGTTTAATTTACCACTTTTATCTCTAGGTATGTCACATAGTTCTGGGGTTAAGACCAGCTACTCCGGAAGAGGAAGGACAAATTATTAGGTAAGTTTGTAGTTTCAATCTGTATATTTTTCATTATATAGTTGAAATTTCTGACACCTGAAATATATTGTTACTGAGTAACAGCATGTCCCATTTTAACGTTATTATTACAATAGCACTTTGTTTCTCCAAAATAGTTATGTAATGAAATTTTTTGTTAAACTAACTTCCTAACCAAGGGATTGGGTTAAGATATTTAAAGTGTACAATGTGGTGACTTGATATATTGTATACATTATGAAAGGATTTCACCCATTGAGTTAATTAACACACCATCATCATCAGCTCACATATTTACCTTTCGGGGGTGGGGGGTGAGAACATTGAAGTTCTGCTGTCTTAGCAGGTTTCATTTATATAATACATTGTTATCAACTATATCACATTGGATTTGAAGACCTTATATATCTTATAATGGAAATTTGTACCTTTTTTACTGACCTCTGTTTCTCCCAGCCCCTGGCAGCCACTTTCCTCTTCAGTTTCTGAATTTGACTTTTTTTTTTTTTGATACCATGCAGTGTTTGTCTTTCTCTGTCTGGCTTATTTCACCTAGCTTAATACCCTCCAGCTTCATCCATGTTTTTGTAAATGACATGATTTCCTTCTCTTTTAAGGCTGAATAAAATTCCATTTTATATATATAAAAACACCACATTTTCTTTATCCATTCATCCGCTTTGGGACACTTAAGATTATTTCCATACCTTGGCTACTGTGAATAATACTGTAATGAACTTGGGAATAGAGCTGTCTCTTCAAGATAATGATTTCCTTTCCTTTGGATATATACCCGGGAGTGGGATTGCTGGATCATACGGTAGTTCCATTTTTAATTTCCTGAGAAACCTCCACACTGTTTTCCGTGATGGCTGTATCAGTTTACATTCCCACCAACAGTGTACAAGGGTTTCTTTTCTCTACATCCTTGCCAGCATTTGTTATCTCTTATCTTTTTTATAATAGCCATCCTAAAAGATGTGAGATGATATCTCATTGTGGTTTTGATTTGTTTTTCCCTCATTTTTAGTGATGTTGAGCACCTTTTCGTGTAGCCATTGACCATTTGTATGTTTTCTTTAGAAAAATGTCTATTCAGGTCCTTTGCCCGTTTTTTTTTCTTTGCCCATTTTTTTAATTGGATTGTTTTGGTTTTTTGCTAGTGAATTATATGAGTTCTTTGTATATTTTGGATATTAACCCCTTATCAAATATGTGGTTTGCAAATATTTGCTTCCATTTTATAGGTTGCCTTTTCATTTTGTTGATGGTTACACTGTTGACACTCTATCACATATGCACATACGTATATACCTCTGATGGAATTTGTAAATTTTTTACAAAAGTGAGAATATTCTGAAATATAGTTTTACTTTCTGCTTACATTTCCACTGCAGATAATATAAAATGACACTTTTATTTATCAATAAAATCCTCTTATAATTTAAATGATTGGCTAATAGGTCCTATTCATCCCCTAATTTTATCTCTATTTTTCTTTAACATAAGTATATTGGAACAATTTAGTAATAAAGTCTATAAGCCTTTGATTAGAGATTTACTTAGGCAGAATTACTTGAAGTCATATACCTGGGTTAATGAGCCTGTATATTTTTATAGTTATAATTCAATTTTTAATACCTTAAGTATCTTTCATTGCTTTAGGATTACTATTATACTACATATTTATATAGAAAGTTTTAGAAATATGACTGAATCTCTACTAAACTTTACTTTTAGAATAAAGTCTCAACATATAGTTTGTCACTTGACTTTTTCCTAAAGTAGTGTGTATAGCTACTTTTTTAGTAGTTTCTTTTGGCTTTGGACTAATGGATAGAAGAGATTTTACTGAAACAGAGCTGTTGGGAACACCAGAGAACAAGATTACGTAGTCACATTTAAATAGGCGGTGCCAGTTGAGATTTAGGTTGCTTGAAGTAGTAAATATATTTTGTTTTTAAAATGGATTTTTTAAAATGGTTCTTAAAGAAGGTTAGGCAAAATCCATTTTTTTAAAATGTTGTTTTCATAAAAACTGTAGTCTTGTGTAGTCTTTTTAATTTTCATGCTCAGAAGACTTCTTATTTACAGTTTACAGATATTGACAGTGTTGCTTGATTTTCTCTAATGTTTAACTCTCGTAAAATAAAAATTAAAAATACATTGAAGTGTACAAATGAGATAGTGTAAGGAAATACTAAAAGGCTTTTATGTAGCTGCAGTAGCTTTTTTTTCTGACAGCACTGCAATATAATTTCATATTATACTAATATCTTCTTAAGTCATTATGACTTAGCATAGATATTAAGAATGCTGTGTAAACTGTATATATATGTCTTGGCTTATTTTGCAAATGTTCATAGCAACCCTATTTAAAAATATAATATTGAGATAATCTTATATTTTTATAAAACTTTGTCCTTTGCAAAATACTTACACTTAGGTTATTTCATCTAGTCCTCAGAATAACTGCATGAAATTAATTTTATCATCCCATTTTATAAAAGAGAAAACTGAGATTCACAAAAGTTGAGGAACTTAACTAAAATTACATGGAGGTGGCAGAATCAAGTCTAGGACTTTTTTCATTAAAAACACAACTACTGCTTTCTGTATTTTTCAATAAATCTGAATTTTAAATCCTAGGTTCCAAATTTTTTATTTCATTTGGATTTCTGAGTTTTGTTTTATCTTGCCTCCATTTTTCACTTCAAAAATTCGTTTTACTGTGATGGTTTTTGATGGATGAGTCAGGGAATCACGCTTCTAGTTGCTAGACGGGATGCTACCTGATTCATGAATCATTGAATAAACTGAACTAGATCTTCAAAAAAAAAATCTTTTTTTAAATAAAAAGTAAAGGATGAGGGACTGCCTTGGTGGTCCAGTGGGTAGGACTCCACACTCCCAATGTAGGGGGCCCGGGTTCAATCCCTGATTGGGGAAATAGATCCTGCACACATGCCACAACTAAAGAGTTCGCATGCCACAACTAAGAGCCGCATGCTGCAGCTACGAAGTCTGCCTGCTAAAACTAAATATCCCACGTGCTGCAACTTAAGACCCAGCACAGCTAAAATAAATAAATATTTTTAAATAAATAAATAAATAAAGGATGAGTCAGGTTGTTACATAGGCAATGAAGTGAAAGAAATATTTGTCTCACAAAAAAAAAGAAAGAAAGAAATATTTGTCGCTAACTTAAAGAATCAGTACTTTGTTTAAAAATCAGTATCATGGACTTCCCTGATGGTGCAGTGGTTAAGAATCTGCTTGCCAATGCAGGAGACACAGGTTCGATCCCTGGTCTGGGAAGATCCCACATGCTGCAGAGCACCTAAGCCCGTGTGCCACAACTACTGAGCCTGTGCTCTAGAACCCGTGTGCCACAACTACCGAGCCTGCATGCTTGGAGCCCCTGCTCTGCAACAAGAGAAGCCACCGCAAAGAGAAGCCTCCATACCACACTGCAACAAAGAGCAGCCCCCACTCGCTGCAACCAGAGAAAGCCCACGCACAGCAATAAAGACCCAAAGCAGTAAAGAAAAAAATAATTAATTAATTAATTTAAAAATCAGTATCATGATTTCTGCAATGGCTGAGTGAAGATCTCAGCAAATTCTCTCCCCAAAAAGCAACTGGGCAAAATTGTCAGCCAACCATTTCAGGACTCTGAAAACTGAACAGAGTTATTCAGCAAATTGAGAAGCATTTATTCAAGAAAAACTACTAAACCTTGGTAAGAATAATGGGATTCTGTAGTATTTCTACCTGAGACTGTTCCCATGCCCTCCCATCCAACAGATCTGCATGATAGTTTTACCAGGGCAGGCCAGAGAGGGCTGACTTGATTTGCAGTAGAGCAGGGCTGAGTGCCTGGCCAAGAGAATTGTAAAAAAAAATGGGGGTGGGGGGTGGAATTAGAAGTTTGGGATTAACATATACATACTACTGTATATAAAATAGATAAACAACAAGGGCCTGCTGTATAGGGAACTATATTCGATATCTTGTAATAATCTATGATGGAAAAGAATCTGAAAGGAATATATATATATATGTGTATCTGAATCAATTTGCTGTACATCTAAAACTAACACAACATTGTAAATTGACTATACTTCAATTAAAAAAGGAAAGCAAACGCGGAGTGGCTGGGCCCGTGAGCCATGGCCGCTGAGCCTGCGCGTCCAGAGCCTGTGCTCCACAGCGGGAGAAGCCACAACAGTGAGAGGCCCGCGTACCGCAAAAAAAAAAAGAAAAAAAAAATGAAAGCAAAAAAAGAAAATAAGAATATAAACAATCTTATAAAAATATTGTAAAAAACAGTAGAGATCACATGGTGGCAAACAATCAGGGAACATCGCTAGCTTGGGGTTGAGGTACTGGTTAAGGGAAGCAGCAGACTGACAGCCCAGTCAAAATTTTAACAAAGAGATCCAGAGAACAAGATAACCATAGTGAGTATTAATAAACTTCCCCATATTCTAAATGATTTGGAAGGCTGCTAGTATATACAAGACTACATGCAAGCTCAGAAGACACCAAAGCGAGCCTTAGATGTCTATTCATTCCTGGTTTAATGGGAATCCTTGCACATGGAGAAAGTAAAAGCCTTCCCTTGCACAGAGAAGGTTTGTAACCTTTCTGAACTTTGCATGTGTTTCTCAAATGGTGAACACAGATCCATCAGAGAAAAGGTGCAAGTGGCTCCAGATGTTTAAGCACAGCCTCTCACCAGTCATTGGCTGGCAAGTAAGTTATGCTCTTCCCAAGAAATCCAGGCTTAAAAATAAATATAAGAAATAATAATAAAGAAAACTGGGACTTCCCTGGTGGTCCAGTGGTTAAGTCTGCCTTCCAATGCAGGGGACGTGGGTTTGATCCCTGGTCGGAGAACTAAGATCCCACATGCCGTGGGGCAACTAAGCCCGCGTGCCACAACTACTGAGCACACAGGCCACAACTAGAGAGCCCAGGCACCACAACTAGAGAGT